CTAATAGAAAAATATGACTTTTACCTTTACCATTAATAGAATCTTGACATTAATTTTACTCTTACTTTTATATGACTTAAAAATTTATTCAAAATAGGATACCTTAAATCCTGCCAAATCTGTAAGTTCTCCTAAAGTTCATACTTTATAATCCTAACCGAGCAAAACAAATAGAACAATCTGATTACAAACTACCCGTTAAATGTATGAATTGATTTGATATTTGAATAAAGGTACATAAAGTTGCTCTCAATCAATAAGCCAACATGTTAAAATTCTTTACCTTGCTCTAGGCTGCCACAATCAAAACCATTTTCCTTCAAACAACCATTTCGTATCTTTCTTTTCACATTTTTAATGAATGCAATAAAAAATGGAGTTACGAAGGAATGTATAACAAGTACTACATTACCAGACTACACAAGTTTTGCCCTCATTTGAAGGTAAATGATTCAAAAGCACATAAAGAAAGAGTAAACAAAAATAAGTTTGTTGGATGGGCATGAGCACGTTCATAGTATACGTATTGTTTTTTTTCTAAGTAAGTCTTTTATTTACGGTTTGAGAATAAATCACGTAATGTTTTTTTAAGTAAGCTTAAAGTTGAATTTATTATTTTGCTTAACATCCCTCACACACATCTTAATATGACTATATTAAGATCTAGAAATTGAGATCAATTTAATAGTAGTAAAAAAGAGTGTAAAAGGAGCAGATGAATAATTAAGAGGTTGGAGTTATTTTCTTATTCTATTGATCGAAAACAACTACACATATGATTTTACCATGTTTACTACTAAAATTGACTGTCCATATACTTTTATACAACCGTCTTACTACTAAAAATTCAAAATGTAAATAATATCTAAATATACGTTAATATCATAATAGACTTTTTATCAATTACTTTTTATGAGAAAATTATACTAAGTTTTATATCTACAATGTTTCTATGTAGTTCAATAATTGATTTCATTTTTTATTATACAATTATTTTATTCATACAAAATATGAGCCTAATAATTCTACAATCTCTAGGAAAAATTGGGCGATAGAAAGGTTCAATACAAGACCAAAAATTATTTAAAATAAGCTTACATGTCATTTGCAATTCATCTCCCACAAGTTTAAATATACACTTTATAAGCGCATATTATCATCTATTTGTATTTGTAATCTTAATTTGTTTCCCCATAATAATAAGAGTTGGAGGCTTGGAGCAACGTCAAATCGTTTGTCTTCAATTTATATTGATATTATTTTATTTAAAGGTAATGTAGATTACTAAATTTAATGGACTTAGTTCTGTTTTAATAAGTCTGATCTGATCTAAAATTAAACGCAATACAATTACTTTCCTATATTTAAGCATACTTCTTTAACTTAGCCCGTTTGATAATATTGAAATTGATTGAATTGATTAATACTGCAAAATTATATGAATTTCTGGCTGAAATGACTGCATTGATAAATTATATTGATCTATAAAAAATTATATTTAAATTATCTATTATTAATAAAATAAACAAAAAATTATATGAAAATTTATCTACTACAATAACATTACCCATATCAACCAGTAAAGTAAATTCAGACTTACTTATTTTGCTTATTACTCAATTCAACATGTAAAATCAGAAAGACAGATGTAATATTATTTCAGTTTTTAACAAATAATTTAAATATTTATGTTTATCATTAACATATGTAATTAATCAAGTTATAACGAATTTCTATTATTTTAACATATTCGGTAGATTCTGCTAATTCGAATTTACCAAACAAACCAGTTCAGACCAGATAAAACCAGATTTAGATCGTTCTAAAATACATACAGAACAGACTAAATCAAACAAATTCAAACCAAACAACTTAACCAAAATCAAACTAAATCAAATCGAATCAAATCGAATCAAACCATAAAATTTTAAATTTATAAAAAGGGCTTACTACGAACTCATATTTTCTCAAAAGAAAACATCACATATACATGTTTCGTATTAACTAAACTACAAATCAAGATAAAATATGGCCCAAGACCAATAATGTCAGACCTAGAGTCATAACACAACTTAGTCAATTTCATTATACTTTAATTATTATACCTAGCCTCTACCTACGTACTTTGGCAACTCTGCAGCAAGTTTATACACAGTAAGCGCATAGGCTAACTTTCACAACTGATTTGGTGCTGCTCAACACGCTTTGTCTTTGAAAGCTTTCTGATCGTTGGTCAATGAAAACTCTCCATATCATAACCGATTCTATTCTGCTCAACCCGCTCTGTCTTTGATCGCTTTCTGATCGATGGTCAAGACCCAACGCTCTATCCTCTACTGGCTGCTTGCCCGACAGGTATGGAACCCTCCATATCATAACTTGGCTGCTTTGTAATTCCTATGATTTCTTCAATATTCTGGAACAATACCATACAAATCAAATAAGGATCAAATAACGAGTAGCTGCACAAAATCATCAATACTCTTACATAGCCTCAATTACAGCATGTAAAAAATAATTAGTGTAGTTTCATATTTTCATCATCATCATTCCATTAATATAGATTTATTAGGACTGGGAGGATAAAAAATCAGCCCTTAAATAATACGGAGTATAAAGAATATACCAATATTCTAATACCAAGAAGAAATCCAATATGTTTACCATTGCCAATTCAACAATATAAATGAATATTTTTACGGGAAAATAATTGAGATTGAATGATTATCATTAGGGGTTGGCTTTTCTTGCTGCATAGAAAAAAATAAAAAAACAGAAAACTTTGTTCTCTCATTAGTTCGTTCGTTTGACTCTTCCTAATTCATTTACGTTTTTTAAACGTTTGTAAATATACCTTTAGATAATATATATTTTTCCAAGCAATGATTTGCAGTTTGCTATGGTGTCTGTCTTAGCATGTACTCCGTATGTAATAAGTGCCTATATTTGGGTGACGGTCTTTGAATATCTATTAAACACATGTGTTGCGTCAAGTTGCGTGTATCTACAATATGTTTATTTTAATTTTTAATTACATATATATGCACCAACTGCTCTTTCCCGTGCGTATATTCTTCCCCATATCTACTTCATAACACAAACACAATTTTAAAGTTTTTCCATTCTTATTTAATATTTTATTCAAAATAGGATACCTTAAATCCGGCCAAACCTGTAAGTTCTCCTAAAGTTCATACTAGATAATCCTAATCGAGAAAAACAAATAGAACAATCTGATTACAAACTACCCTTTAAATGTATAAATTCATTTGATATTTTAATAAAGGTACATAAAGTTACTCTAAATCAATAACCCAACAGGTTAAAATTCTTTGCCTCTCTACGCTAACACAATCAGAACCATTTTCCTTCAAACAACCATTTCATTCTGAGGTTAAGCAGTTTTACCAACACAACTCTCATAGTTTAAGATTTTTTAATGAAGAACATTCTGACAAAAATAAATCTAAAAGTTTCACCGGGAACTACCTCAAATAGGGATGAGCAAACTACGATTCTGATTAGAAAGTCCAAACCAGAATATTGCTCTCTCTCTTTCTCTCTGTATATGCATATATATAGCATGAATCTTTGAACTCAATATTTGTTCAAATTCAGTACTCTTATTTTCTAATATGTTTTCATTGCAGTGCAAGAGTAAAAATGGATGCGGCGGAAGCCCGTCGCAAAAGAAAATCAATTCTACAATCAAGAGAAGCACATAGGAGAAACAACAATGAAAATTTTGATATGGGTATACACAGAATTTTATTTTCTTATTGAGTACTTTTTCGTATCTTTGTTTTCACTTTTTTCTTGAATGCAATAGAAATTGGAGTTGTGAAGAAATCTATATCATGTACTACATTACCGGACTACACAAGTTTTGCCCTCATTAGAAGGTAAATGATTGATGGATTATCATCAAAACACTATTATAATAATATTTTAATACCATGACTGACAAGTGTTCATGACATAAATACTCAAAACATAAAAAGGAAAGAGGAGGCAGCAAGAGCACGTCTCAGAAGGAGATATATTCTACATCACAAAAGGAGAGGTAAATTCATAACCACAATCCAAAACACACACTTAGCTAAGTCCAACTTTGAATTCTCTACCTCCTAATATATTTTACATTGCTATATATCATTAAAATTTAAACCATTTTAACTTTTAAGGTTTCCTCACAAACAACAATGTCCAAGATTTGCCCCATGATGTAGAAACCAAAGCCAAAAAAATGTAGCAACATCAAATGAAAGCATGCTACTCAACAGTGGTACAACTCAATAGTTATTACATGTCTTTATTATAACATTTTTTTATTTAACTATATCCCATGACAATTGTAAATTATTAATTATTCATGGACTATATAGCCACGTACTCTTATAGTCCTCTCCTTCACACAAGTAGCAATGCAAATATCATGGACAGTTCAACAGGGCATTACCTTCCACTCTCTGACATCACAAATATCGCTTTAAATGGAAGGTAGTTCATAAGACTAAATCACAACTTTTGCGACTTATACATAAAAATTAAATAATCATACGTCTTATGCGATTCTTACATTTTCACAGTGCAAGCAACCAAAACGTTAAAGGAGATGCGGCCATAGAATCACAATCCAAAAGAAGATCTTTCTTACAACAACAACATCAATTTCAAGGTCGAAGTCTACAGAAAGACATATGCAGTCAACTGCGGAATACTGGTATTGTATTTAGTTGTGTGTAGTGTCAAACTCTTATATGATAATATATGTATATCACATATATTGGATGTTAAAATTTATTACATATTTGAACACATACATACAAATGTATGCTTTTTAACACATGTTTGTAATTGATAATAAATTGGATATATTATGGAGATAACATTTATAATCCATCCAACACAGTGAACTCATATCTCTTTATACATGTCTATCACATTTATTCAATATAAAATCTTATTAACTCTTGTGGAGATTGAGAAATTGATGCAAAAAAAAGAGAAAAAGTCTAAAAGACTATCCCTCAATACCATATCCAAATGGATATATCACGGAACAACTAGGAAATAGGCTTATTTATGCCGAACGTGATTATGATACATCCAAGTTGCGTGAGGAGTTTCAAAGTTTGTATGCTTCTCTTACCGGTAAGACAACTACAATTCATGTGATTTATAAGTCATATTAAATGGTTTTGAGTGTTAGGAGAAAAATGATTTCATTCATATATTTTGATGCTAATATTGCAGATGAACAGAAAGCCATATTTGACACAGTAATGGAAGCTGTGACTAATCAAAAAGGTGGGGTATACTTTTTATATGGTTATGGTGGTACAGGAAAAACATTTATGTGGAGAACGCTAGCTTCTGCCTTACGTTCTCAGTGTCATATTGTTTTAACTGTCGCATCCAGTGGTATAGCTTCTCTACTCTTACCAGGAGGTAGAACTGCACACTCTAAGTTTTCAATCCCAGTTCCTACTTTGGAGAACTCTACATGCAATATACATCAAGGGAGTGAACTTGCAGAGCTATTGAAACAGACTAAATTGATAATATGGGATGAAGCAACAATGGCTCATAAATTTTGTTTTGAAGCATTAGACAGAAGCCTAAGTGACATCATTAATAATGATGGTGATTCTAATTCACCATTTGGAGGGGAAGAGTGATTGTCTTTGGAGGAGACTTTAGACAAACTTTACCCGTTATTCCTGGAGGAAGCCGTTCGGACATCGTTAATGCTACAATAAATTCTTCATATTTATGGGAAGATTGTCAGGTATTAAACTCACTTTTTAGTATCATAACCAATATGTTTAATTTTGCGATACTTTAGAAAACACTAATTATCACTTTAGAAGTTTTTTCTTGGAATAATTACTTTATAAGTTATGATAATCAAATATAAGTATATTTTTGCTTATTCATAGGTATTGTCTCTTACTAAAAATATGCGACTCCAAAATAGTTTGGATATGACAAATGCTACTGAGCTCAAAGAATTTTCAAAATGGATATTGGATGTGGGGGATGGAAAAATATCAGAGCCAAATGATGGTTATGCAGAAATAAAAATTCCAGATGAATTCTTGATTAAAGAATTTGATGATCCAATAGATGCAATAATCCGAAGCACATATCCTAACTTGCTGGAGCAATACAAAAAGGAGGAATTTCTCAAGTGTAGAGCTATCTTAGCATCGACTATTGAAATTGTCGATAAAATTAACGACTATGTTCTTTCCTTGCTCCCAGGTAATATTATACAAATGCTACTTTGATTATTTACTGACACAATAAAATCTTAAGCAAATTAAATATTAAAATTACGTCCATTGAAATTTTATAACTACAGGTGAAGACAGAGAATATTTAAGTTGTGATTCTGTAGACAAATCAGATGTAGTCGAAGCAGAAGCATTTGAAGCATTGACACCAGAATTTATAAATTCCTTGAGAACATCAGGTCTCCCAAATCATAGGATACGACTTAAGGTTGGGACTCCAGTAATGTTGTTAAGAAATATAGACCAGTCAGAAGGACTATGTAATGGAACTAGATTGATTGTCACCAGACTGGGAAATCGTGTCATTGGAGCAAGAATCATGTCTGAAAGCTATGGTGGAGATGAGATTTACATACCTCGAATGTGTATGTCTCCTTCTCAATCACCGTGGCCTTTTAAACTTATCAGAAGACAATTTCCTATAATGGTCTCATATGCAATGACAATCAATAAATCTCAAGGACAGTCACTGGAAAGAGTTGGATTATACCTGCCTAAACCTGTTTTTAGTCATGGACAATTGTATGTGGCATTATCTAGAGTTCAGAGCAAGCATGGATTGAAAATTTTAATACATGATAAGGATGGAAAATCTTTAGACACTACTACGAATGTTGTATTCAAAGAGGTTTTCCAAAATCTCTAACATGTAAGTTTACTATTTAACTTTTAATATTTATTTTATTAACTTAATTTAACTTTATGGTATTGACTTATTGTACTTGCTTTTAAGAATTATCCCAATTTTTTAAAATTAATTTTCTTTTCTAATTAATTAGATCATGATTACAAGTGTATCCATCGATTATTTCCCGTGCGTATGCACGGGTACTGAACTAGTGTCATGTGAAAATATTTCTACTTTTTGGATGAGTTAAAAATAGAAATAACAAAAATTCAGTCAAACTTTTATCAGTGACTTTTCCATCAATCCCCCATAGCAGTCAACGGCAGGGGTGGGATGATGGATAGTTGACTTTTCATTAATTAAGGAAAGGTTATTCACATTTTGAATTATAGATCTAGTCATATTTTATCTTAGAGGATATGTTAATGTCATTTTATTCCGTTTCCCAAGTTTTCTCTTCAACTCGGTCACTTTTCCAAAGAATTTTAATCATTGAAACTTTCTTGCTCCTCAACTTCTTGACTTGCCTGTCAAGTATATTTACCGGTTGCACGGCATAATTCAAGTCTTCCCGTATTTCCACGGGCGGTTTCTCTAACACATGAGATGGATCCGGAATATACTTCTTAAGCATAGATACATGGAATACATTATGTATTTTCTCCAATTCCGGAGTCAGCTGTAATCGGTATGCTACGACCCCAATTCTTTCAAGAATCACAAATGGCCCTATGTAGCGTGGGTTAAGTTTCCCTCGGCTCTGAAATCGGATGATTCCTTTCCAAGGTGAAACCTTCAAAAATACCTCCTCTCCAACCTTAAACTCTAAGGCTCTTCGGCGCTTATCGGCATAGCTCTTCTGTCTATCCTGTGCCGCCTTAAGTCTCTCACGAATCATCTTCACCTTTGACTTGGTGATCTCCACCAGTTCCGTGCTCTCGAGTTTGGCCATGCCAACCTCATCCCAACACAAAGGTGTACGACATCTCCTCTCATACAATGCCTCGTATGGAGGCATGCCTATACTCGCCCGATAACTGTTGTTATAGGCAAACTCCACAAGTGCCAAATGGTTGTCCCAACTCCCTTGGAACTCCAATGCACAAGCTCTCAGCATATCCTCTAATATATGTATAACCCGCTCGGATTGCTCATCCGTTTGTGGATGAAAAGTTGTACCGAATTTCAACTTTGTCCCCATAGATTCTTGGAACTTCAGCCAAAATCGTGATGTGAATCGCAGATCTCTATCGGATACAATGGTTATCGGAACCCCATGTAGCCTCACGATCTCATCCACATACAACTTGGCTAACCTCTCCAGTGCATAGGTGGTGTTGATAGGTAGAAAATGTGCACTCTTCGTAAGCCTATCAACCACAACCCATACGGCATCATAGTTCTTAACCGTCCGTGGCAGCCCCACCACGAAATCCATAGTCACGTGTTCCCACTTTCATTCAGGAATGGAAAGTGGCTGTAATAACCCAGCTGGATGCTGATGTTCTGCCTTAACTTGCTGACAAGTAAGACACCTACTGTTGTACTCGGCTATTTCCCTCTTCATACCAGACCACCAGTAACTTTCTTTCAAATCACGGTACATTTTCGTGCCTCCCGGATGCATGGCATACGCCGATGAATGAGCCTCCTCTAAAATGGACTTTCGGAGCTCATCATCCGACGGTACACACACTCGGTCACGAAATAATAAGAGACCATCGTCTCTTTCCCTGAAATCCTCAACCGGTCCCGCTAGCATGCGTTCACGGATCTTCATAAGTTCTTCATCGGTTTCTTGACCCTTCTTGATTTCATCAAGTAATGTAGGTCTCACCTCGAATCTAGCTAACAAGGCACCATCGCTAGATACCTCCAATTGGGCTCTCAATGCCCTCAGACTAGTCAATAATGCCCCAGATGAATTCTTTCGGCTCAAGGCATCCGCTACCACGTTGGCTTTACCGGGGTGGTATTCGATAACTAGATGGTAGTCTTTTATCAACTCCATCCACCGTCTCTGTCTGATGTTTAACTCTTTCTGAGTAAACACGTACTTCAAGCTTTTGTGGTCGGTGTATATATGACATGTTTCCCCGTAGAGATAATGTCTCCAAATCTTCAATGTGAACACCACCGCCCCCAGCTCTAAGTCATGAGTGGGATAATTTACCTCATGCTTCTTCAACTGTCGTGATGCATAGGCAATCACCCTCCCATTCTGCATCAAGACACATCCAAGCCCTTGGATGCTTGCGTCGCTGTAGACATCGTACCCCACACCCTGTTTGGGTAGTGCGAGTACTGGTGCCTCGGTCAATCTCTTCTTCAGTTCAACGAATCCCTTCTCACATCGGTCATCCCATACAAACTTGGCCCTTTTCGAGTGAGCTTTGTCAATGGCGATGCCAACACTGAGAACTTCTCCACAAATTTTCGGTAGTACCCTGCCAATCCAAGGAAGCTACGAATTTCCTTGACGTTCTTTGGCCTCTCCCATTCAGTAATGGCCTCAATCTTCTTGTTATCTACGGCAATCCCTGATCCCGAAACCACATGCCCGAGAAAGCCAATCTCCCTTAGCCAAAATTCACATTTGGAAAACTTGGCATAGAGTTGCTTCTCCCGTAGCGTCTCAAGAACAAGTATCAAGTGCTCCTCATGCTCTTCTTCACTCTTCGAGTAAATCAAGATATCATCTATGAACACAATCACAAACCGGTCCAAGTATTTATGAAATACTCGGTTCATCAAGTCCATAAATGCCGCCGGGGCGTTTGTTAGCCCAAACGACATGACTAAGAACTCGAAATGACCATACCTCGTGCGAAAAGCACTCTTCGGTATATCATCCTCCTTTATCTTCAGTTGATGGTACCCCCACCTCAAGTCGATCTTCGAAATCACCGTTGCTCCTCGGAGCTGATCAAACAAGTCATCAATCCTAGGTAAAGGATACCTATTCTTGATCGTGACCTTGTTCAGTTGACGGTAGTCAATGCACATTCGAAGTGTCCCATCCTTCTTTTTCACGAAAAGGACTGGTGCTCCCCATGGGGAGTGGCTCGGCCTTATGAAACCGTTATCCAATAGCTCTTGCAATTGGGTTTTCAACTCATTAAGTTCAGCGGGTGCCATTCTGTACGGCGGTATAGAGGTTGGTTTGGTGCCGGGTTCAACCTCGATCACGAACTCAATCTCCCTATCGGGTGGAAGTCCCGGCAAGTCTTTTGGGAAGACATCCGGATACTTGCACACAACTCTCACATCATTGATGTCTACCTCTTCTTTGGTTTTATCCACCACGTATGCTAGATATGCGTGACACCTCTTTCTCATCATATTCCTCGCTCTCACGGCGGATATGATACAACTGTTTGATTTGCCTCTATCTCCCTCAAAGCGTAAGGTCAACCCTTCACCGCTTTCGAGTTCAAGAACCTTCGTGTAGCAATCGACCCTAGCATGATGTTTCTCAAGTCAATCCATTCCTAGGATTGCATCGAACTCGATCATACTTAGCGGTACGAAATCACACGTCAAGATCTGGCCCTCCACTTCCACCTCACACGATGGATAGTGGCTATTTCTTTCGATATCTTCCCCTAGAGGTGTGGACACCAATAGGGTTTGAGTCATCGGTACAAGCGGCTCATTGAATCCCCCGGCAAACGCCTCACTCACAAATGATCGTTGCGTCCCGGTATCAATAAGGATTCTTGCATCTCTCCCGTTTATCTTTAGTGTTCCTACATTCATAAGTGATGTAAGACATACTACTAAGTATAGACTTGCTTCTTTGGTTAAAGAGTGTACTAACTACGATTCAGATGGTAATCGTTCAACGTCCCATCACAACCCGCTCGGTTCTCACCCTCGGAAGCCGACTTGTACATTAACAGGGGAAAGGCAGCCGCTTTTCACGAAACCCGGTCGGTTTTCGCTCACTTCGGAACTTGTCGCTACGTAAGCCGACCGGTTTCTACGAAAGCCGACCGGGTTTCGGCTGCGAGAAAATTGCACGCTAAATAACCACGAAAGCCGGCCGGCTTTCGTGGAAACCGGCCGGTTTTCGTCGTCGTCGTTTTATTCATAAAATATTTTCAAAAGCCGGGCGGTTTCTACGAAAACCGGCCGGTTTTCAGCAGTGCAGGAATTCCCAGGCCCAACGAACGCCAGGCGGCTTTCACAGAAGCCGGTCGGCTTTTGGCGTCGCAGTTTATTCAGGTGCTTTATTACAAATGCCAGTCGGTTTCTACGAAAGCCGGCCGGTTTTCAGCTGCGAGAAATTCCCCGGATTAATTATTTACAAAAGCCGTCCGGTTCCTACGAAAGCCGGCCGGCATCGAGCGCCGTAGTATTTTTTCTGAATTTAATTCAGACGAAAGCCGAGCGGCTTCCGTCAAAGGCGGGCGGCATTCGCCCAGGGCAAGGATTCTCCTCCCCTTTTCCTCTTCAAACCCGACCAAACCCGTCGGGGTTATATATTTACAAGTTCAATCCTCCTATTGCATATAATAGATTAACACGTGAGTTTAAGGAATTACCCGCAACAGAGTCCGGGTTGGCACGAGCATCCGCCTCCGTCATAGCATAGACCCGAGCTTGGGTCTTCCCTTGATTTACGGATGGCGCGTTGCTTGCACTCGCTCCACCGTGCCCACCGCTCGCATTTGGTGCTCCCGTTCGATTCCTGCTCACCATCGTTCCACTATCAAATGCCCCCATGGCTCGCCCAAGTTGTGGGCAACTCACTTTCAAATGCCCAACCTCCCCGCATTGATAACACCTCGGGGGATCGCGACACTTGCCAAAATGGTTCTTCTTACAATTGTTGCACTTCTTCATGCCCGAGCCTTGTGACACAGAGCTTTGCCCGCTTGGGCCTTGATTTCCCCTTGCCGGTGGTGCAGGGGAATTGAAAGATCCGCCTCCCCCGTGGTTCCCCTTCTTGTTAGAACCTTGA